CTATAGAATAACAGAGGGAGATCCAACAATGAAAGTATAGAGCAAAGAATTCCAGGTATCAGGCAATCCTGGAAGACACCAGTGGTTACAGTCTGCAAATATCTCTGGCTGCTTTCTCTCTTCATCAGTTAATAGCTTCTGATGCCTCACAGTGTATATAGATGTGTGCGCTTCACGCCGATACTCTGATAACCTTGTGATGTTGAGATATTTAACTGGAGTTTTCATTTTCTTTATAGTTTTCTCTACTATAGATATCATTGATTGTTTAAATGACTGTCTGTAAACCTCGTTGGTGATTGGATGGCTCTGGTTGTAACACCAGTGCAAATTATACCTGCAAGTGTTTGACATTCAAGAAAAAGTAAGCAACTAATCATACTATTACTCATAAGAATAACGGAGAATGCAACCTGTGCTATAGGGAAATTAGCATCAAATATCTCATTTCGATGATGTTTGTACTTTGTCGTAGCAAATGTGCTTAAGAATGCAAATCCAGTGTTCGATTTGCAAGTTTTTTGTTCAAGAAAATATCCTCCCATTGCCACATTTACGTACCGTGTATGCTGAGGAGAGATACTACGAAAGAAAACCCTCGTCTTGTTCGGGTTCACCATTCGATCAATCCAATTCGCCCAGGTATTGAGTCCAGCCTCAAACGCCGAGTCCCCATCCATCTCCTCAACCAGCTTTCCGTCATGCTCATAATAATCCCACCTGCAAAATTTAAATTTCAGTCCAATGCAAATGGGATGCAAATACTAGATTGGTATTGGATATTTGAGTTAAAAACCCACGTTTTGCCTCTCCCGTGGTGAGTCCACCAGTGGCCAGTGTTGAAAACCAAGACCTCAGCATCCTGCCATTTCCAAGGTTCTACAAGCTCATCGAGCTTCAGAACTTTTGATCCGTTCTTCATTTGATCTGCTTTTATCATAAACGGACTCCAGAAGAATTCCAGTGAGAAATCATAGTCCTTGCATTGTCAACAGTCACCAATAAATTAAATAGCACCAGTTTGGAATTCGATTTGCACTGATTTTAAAAGTTCATGGAAACACTGCGTGTATTAAGAATCTAAACTATACCAGAGCTCGAAAGATTTTGTAGGTGTCTGTTAACTTGATAAATGTTCGCGATGGTTGATTGATAGATGAATAAAGGAGACATGCCATCGACTCCCACTGGTTTCTATTAAGAGAATCGCCGATGATTGCCACTCTTTTTCCTCTTAATCTCTCCAGCATATCAGTCCCATTAAACCTTAAAAAAATCCGATTAAACTGAAAAACATAAAGATTTGTTTTCTTGAACTAAGATAAGTATGTTATAAAGTTTGGTACCTCGGTATATCACAGCCTCTTGGCTTCCACCTCCAGTGCTCATAGTCAGAATCTGGCCTCCCATTTTTCTGGCAAACAACTTGACCGCTAAGAAAAGGACATTGATGACCATGATACAATGGATAATCCTTAGGATCATAAACCCACATCCCATCGAAAACGTCGCACTCCTCTTGTTCTTCTTCTATCGACATCCCCAGTATCTCGCTAACACTACTGTTCAACTTCAACGACGCCTCCATCTTCTCTCGCGCAAAAACTTTGTCAATTGTAGTATTGAGTTGTGAGGATGAAATATTCTGGGGAGATGAAGAATTTTGATGAGGCGAACTATTTTGAGGAGATGACATGATATTGAGCTCTCCGTAGTACTCTGTGATGGAAATGTTATGATTATTGGCAAATCCTAAACTTGTAAGAGAAGGAACGATATTGCTGATAAGAGTTTGGCCTTGATCATGGTTAAGAAAGAGGAAGACGAAACCAAAAAAGCTGGCGAAGATGCAAAGAGACCATCTTGGGTTGATGATAGCGTACTCCATGGGAGTTTTGCTTCTCTATTCTGCCACAAACTGAGGCAGTGGTGTTTATAAACTAGCAAATCAAAATCCGAGTCCTAGTAGTTGCTTAATTTTGATAAATTATGAC